TATTCATTGCGCATTTGGCCACTATCGAAATGTATGGGACCCAAAGTGTTGAATATATGAATGAGACATTAACACAAAGACTGAAAAGCTGGTTCCTTGGCAAAATAGAATTCAGCCAATGAAATGTTGTGAGGTACCCCAAGTAAGGCCTGTATTACATCATAATTGGCGAGAGAGCTTACCTCAATGCGGGAATTTTCTATTATTAATGTGACGGCTCTGTGAGGCAATGCACTACATACAAAAGACGAGCTAAACTGCTGCCACTCGCTCTCCAAAAATGCATTGCATTCCTTTAGTTTATTATATATAATTATACTGTGCCATACATGTAGCCTCTAACAGCCTAGTATGTTGTGTATAATGCAGGTAGAACTGAAAATACTCTTTACACAAGCTAAGGGAACTATGTATCAGATTCGAAACGTCATTAATGGAACACGTGTTCTTTCTGATCCAGGGGAAAACATGAATGGAGCAGGAGACTTTATACTTCTACTGGTTAAAGCACATGTTATTGCAGCTGCTAAAGTGATCCAGTCAGTAACTCATACTGATGCAGTTATGCAATTAGCCAAAGCAATCATCACCGACCACATACGTTTACCTAGTACAAATGGCAACAATGTGATGACAAAGTGTATGTATATGCCACAGAGTACAATAATTGTATTTGTGCTAAAGAGGCAGTTAACATACTACAGAATGGGAAAAAGCCCAACTACTGCACTAATACAAAGGGACACCCAGGAAGAACATTCCACGTGACCTATTCATGGAGCATCTAAACCGCAGCCCAAAATACATCCGCTAAGATAACTCCAAAATGAAGGATTCCTTATTGTACATTCCGGACCGATAAACACTAATTGTACTCGACCTTGCAGTTGTCTTATTCGTCGCTTACAAATTGTACTTGCATTCCTTTGAACCATATTTCAACGTTTGGTTCCTAACGAGTGGGCAAATGTAAACCACAATGCTGCCAGATGTCCCTAAACACAGACAAAGCGTACAAAATGCATTGTTATAGTACACTAGTCTCAATGTGATCCTAATTCTCAAGTTTGTCAAATGCTCGAGGAAGGAGGGCACTTCCCGTAGCCAGTTGGTAGGGATATACAAATATGTCTGAACCTCCAAGTATAGCTTCTAAGTCTTTTGTTTGTCTTTTAGTTCTAAACTCTCCTGAACTTTCACAAATACTCACCTTCAAACCCTGACTCAAATCCATAGCTACAGATTTAGAATCACCACATGGAATGCAATTTACAAGTAACACCTACTTGGTTCACATAAACACCACTTGATAAGTTCTACATGTAGCTGTAAGCAATTTCACCACAAAACTCTCTACTCCCCCGAGAGTGTCTGGCTAGCGATACTATATGTAAAACACCATTATCAGCACTTTAGCCCGACAGAATGATTTCACATACTCATCACGCAACAGTAAAAATGTGGATAAAGAAACCTAGACATACAGAGAGGAACAACGTAAGAATACTTTAAACTCAGGGTTAAATAAAACGAATGAGTGGAGGAAGCCCCTCTCGCAGAGTAGCTGATTATCACCTTCAGGCAGAAGCTCCATGTTGTTGCACTCATCCGCCTCACTGCTTCGTGTAAAATAGGTTGTGTGATCTTCACCATCTTTGCCATTATCTCGCTCTCGTTCATCAGAACACGTGCTCTGTGCGTGTAGTCGCGCATGCACACTAAATCTCAATACCTTGCGGGGGCGGGGGGTGCTAGCCCATGCACGGTGGCAGCGAATTAATGCGCGGATCTGCGTTGCGCTTACGCGCTCTAAGGAGAACAAACTACTATATTCTACAAAACTAAAGCCCAGCGTGTAGAAGGGGTAGGAAAATAAATACTACAAAATGGGCGTACATACCCTTCCGTGCCATGCTTGTTCAATGTTTGGTGTGGATGGCTCGTTGAATATGAAAATATAGCTGCTGTCATTAGGCCTTTGGAGAACTGAGAAACAGCAATATACGTTATACAAGAAATTTTTCCACATACACTCCATTCAACACAAGGATGAGAGGCCAAACAAACTTTGCAGGCAAGTTTTAAGCATTGTTGGTCAACATAGGTTATCGTTATGAAGTAGTTCTTAGGAAGCCCCATAAATTTTGTAGACACACGTATTGCATGGCGACAGTGTTTCTGCTGCTGCAACAAACCCTCGATGCAAGCAAAACAGCGATTCAAAGATTACACAGATCCCAGAGTGCACACACTTTGCTTGATGCCAGTGTCGTTTAGGATACTTCATTACCCAGGCTTGATTAGACACTCAACTTCGTGTGAAAGAGGGATAGGGCCAACCACGTGGAACACTGTCGATCAAATTTGTGTGCAGGAGTTGATCTAAGTACACAAGTGTGCACTCATCATAATGAGGCTATAAAACAGTGCCCAAAACTCATATACTACTCATGGCCACACTTGAAATGATCAGGAACCCCACATTCACAAACATGAGTCAGTAGAGTACATTCTGAAAGTCTCAGTCCTCAACATGCATTTGCAAGCGGAGCACTTATTTTTTGAATGCATGTTGTGTTTCAACGATACATGGGCATACATATGTGGATGTGTGCGGAGAACAAGACTCATTATTTTCACATACACATACAATCTTTTATACTTGCAATACACATGCTCGCCTAGAATGTTCAAGGGCGGCTCAGGGTTCACCACGTGTTCGCCTAGGATGTCCAAGGGCAGTTCAGGGTTCAACTGGTGGTGCTACAACACTCCCCCTCCCAGTGAACTAGGCGTAGTACACGAGGCGCTGCGGCCAATGCGCATGACGGCCGGAGCGTGTGACTCTCTGTGGCGGAGCGGTTGGGGGTGTCAGAAAAGAAGGGGAGTGGGAGGTGTCAGCGGTACGAGTAGGTGGTGGCTCCATATGAGCGGCCTTGAGGCGATCCAATGAAATGACAGTTGGGTGGCCATTGCGGTTAATTGTGTAATGCTTCCAGAACTTGGAATGGACCATCGTACGGTTGCTGAAGTGGTTTACGAACCCCATCAAACCGGATAAATACATGCGAGCAGTTGGAGAGGGTGTCGCTAATGTACGTCCGTCGAAATTGTGGGTGCCTGGGGGGGACTGCGGAAAGAGACCGCATGGCCTCTTTAAGCCGTGACGCGTACATTGAGTCGGCAACTGGGGACTGTATGTTTGTGTGGCTCGGTGCGAAGAACTCCCCGGGGAGTCGGAGAGTGGTACCGTACACGAGTTCGGCGGCTGTGCACATGACATCCTGCTTGTAGGACCAATGGAAGTGCTTCGGCCCAGCGGGTAGTGTCCGGCTGGGACTTCAGCGATGCCTTCAGTTGGCGGTGGAATCGCTCGACTAGACCATTAGCAATGGGATGGTAGGATGTCGTGTGGATTCGCTTGGACCCCAGCAGGCGAGTCAACGTACGCGTCACGGCTTAAAGAGGCCATGCGGTCTACAGCGTCTGCCGTCTAACGTACGTGTGGTGCTCGCCTCGACCCCTGACGCCACTTCTTTGGACGAGCTCGCGCAACTCGCAGACCGCGTCATGGACGCCGTGCCAATCGCGGGGGTCAACCCTGGCCTGCCAACGGAGGAAGTTGAGCAACTGCGGACGGCCGCCTAACTGATCTAGTCTCGTCTCTTACCCGAGCAGGTGCTCTCCCATGCCGCCCCTGGTCGCCGACACCCCGCCGTCGCCGACCTTCGTCCCCACGCCGTTCACCCTTCCCCAACGACCGCTCGCTCTGCTGGCACCACGAACGCTTCGGTGATGCAGCGTGGAAGTGTAGGCCCCCATGCGCAATGTCGGGAAATGGCCAGGCCGGTCGCTAGCGGCGACGAGTGTAACCGGCCTGCTCACCAGTCGCCTGTTCTAAGTTTCAGACAAGGCAACCGGACGACGGTATCTGGTCGACACAGGAGCTGAAGTCAGCGTCATCCCACCCTCTCGCGTCGAGCGTCAAAGACAATGTGACCACCTTACACTACAAGCTGTTAACAACACTTCCATCCGGACATACGGGAAACGATCCCTTACGCTGGATCGACTCCGCCGCACGTTCCGGTGGGTGTTTGTTATCGCTGACATCAAACACCCCATCCTCGGGGCAGACTTCTTGCGCCACTTTGCCCTCCTCGTCGACATGCGTCGTCACCGTCTCACGGATGGACTGACTCACCTTCTTATCCAGGGGGTCACATGCAATACGAAGTCTCTGAGCCCATCAGTTCTGCCGCGAAAGCCGATGTCCACCTATGACAAAATCCTAGCCGCGTTTCCCTCACTCGTTCAACCCTACACTCCGGAGGCCCCCATCAGACACGATGTCACCCATCACATTGAGGCCAATGGACCTCCTGTGTCAGCTCGTGCTCGCCGCCTTGGCCCCGACCGTCTTCGGGTAGCACGCCAGGAGTTTGACCACATGCTGGATTTGGGCATCATCCGACCGTCTGCCAGTAACTGGTCGTCACCCCTCCACATGGTCCCCAAGAAGACTCCTGGTGACTGGTGCCCATGTGGAGATTACAGAGCACTCAACAGCCACACCACCCCAGACCGCTACCCAATTCCACATATTCAAGATTTTATCACATACACATACAAACTTGCAATACACGTGCTCGCCTAGAATGTTCAAGGGCGGCTCAGGGTTCACCACGTGTTCGCCTAGGATGTCCAAGGGTGGTTCAGGGTTCAACTGGTGGCGCTACACATACACAAACAGTTGTGTGTTTTGTGTGTGCACATTGTGTTACATTCTACTGTTTTCACAATTACCTCTGCCTCACAACTCAACGGGAAAACCCTAGTTCTACCACAAATGACTTTGGGTGTGCAAACACGTGTGGACATACAACATATAATGCACATCCAAGTTAAACACTCCCATACTCACAATGCGTTCAGTGCATGGGTGCTTTTTATGTTGGAACAAATTCATATGTAAACCTTTGGTACTAAGATTTACTCACTTCATCCTTTAGCTGAGAGACTTTTTTCTGCAATCCTGAAACAGTGCTATCAAGATTCCTTGCTTCACAAAATAGTTCTTGAGTACTTGCACTGTCCATTCTCCAATAAGTGGAGTGATTATGGTTCATGCTCTTGATCAATAAATGACAAGTTGCTTGCAAGTATTGAATGTGTTTTTTTAGATGAGACATTGCCATCACTGCCTCTGACGAGCTGGGAATAAAAACTGACTACTATGACTAGCATGAGGTATGTACTTATTATAATACCTAAGCACATGTGTCGTGTTTTGTGGCATATCCCATTCCTTTCTATGTATGCTTGCAACAGCTGCCAAAATTTTCTTCTGCAATGCAACCTCGAGAATACCTATCTACAGAAAAAGCATTGCGTCACCAATAGTAACACAATCAATATAAAAGCCATTGCACTAACCATAATAGACCAAGAACACCCCTCCCTTGCAGAATGGGAATGGGAAGGGATATAAACTAACCTGTTGTAAGTCTTGTTCTCTCATAGTAAAAAGAATTTCCAAAGTTACATGGTTCTTCTTTAAGAGAGGTAGACAATCTGGATGCTGAATCCCCAATAGAAAAAGTTCTAAATCCACATACTGCTGGCCCTCAGTTTCATACTCCTCTTTCCTGAATACAAGAATACATATCAGCACTTCATTAGCTTGATTCCATGGTCTCACCCACTTGAACTAATTTACAGGAGGACACAGTGTGGATGGTATACACTGTATGCAACACCCTGCTAATGCTACCTAGTCACAAGCTAGGAACTACGGTTAACAAAATAGCATAAACTGGAGTGCACACCTGGCACCGCAAAACTTTTATGTTCTTATGTAAAGGTGGCAGAATCAATAGCAATTTGGACAGGCTTACTTATGCTCAGATACAGTGTGTGTCTTCGCTCCATAACGCAAAAGTATACTGCACAGCCATTGCACAGCAGGACAGGGGTGCGGATTGCACAGTGTTGTGTTGTGGCCATCATCATGCCGAGCATGTATGGCAACAGAGACCTGAAAACAACCAGGAGAATGCTTACAGGACGCCTAGAGCCACTAAAGGCTTTCCTTTTGTTTGCTTGGCACCTGGTCTGCTATGGATGGGCAAAGTAGCCTTTTGTGATGCTATACAACATCGTTTGTGCCTAATGTAGTTAGCTACTGAACCAGCACTATACAGTGCGCCATAAGTCCGTCCACATACTTGAGGCTTCTTTGTTCTCCGGACATAACTAATAAAGTAATGAAAAGCACTGAAGTGCAAACCCTCGGCGTATTATGACGCGCACGTATAAGTAAACGCATGCGCCGTACCACTAATTGATGGGCTGGGTTTAGTTTTAGCTCGTGGTCTCTTGCCAGCTCGTGCAGAGTCTGATGCGGGCTAACTACACTACTAGATAGCATGCGAGAGGCAATACACGCCCTGCGCTGCATCTTCTGGTGCCTCCGAGGTACGCAGAGCACGCGGATCGATCATGCCGCAGTAAGCCGCTGTGTATTTGCATATTGGCTTTTTCGCGCTCCAGCTTTGCAACGGAGCGTTTTCAGCGAAATCCGTTCGAAATTTCTGACCTTCATTGCCCGTTCAGTAGGTGGTATCCTTTGTGAGACGAACGAACACTCGAGAAGTGAGATGACGAGTAACAGACAGACACACACACAAACCCAACTACCGTAACCCTCGCTGCGCATGCGCGCCGAGGGTTAACAAAGTGCTGTTTACACTAGAGTCAGTAGAACAGAGATGATGGACTTGAGACTTCACACATGTGGGATACACTACTTGAGAAGTAACGGAGTTCGTATGCCTTTGTAGTCATCTCCATCAGTCACTTTCATTTAAGGCTAGCAGTCATTCAGTTGCGAAGTTCAGTCTTTTACCCAGATGAAGGAACCCGAGAGGGCTCCGAAACGTTGGTCTATCAAGTTTCACTGACTCTTGTGCAAACAACACTTTGTTACTTTTTTCCTTGCAGTGCATGAAAATAGACACAAAAAGTCTGTGGACAATTTGTCCAAGCACAATCAATTTTGTTCTGCCATTCTCCGCTGTTGATCAGCCATATCAATTCTACATTGCATACAATACATGAGTTGCGGAGTCAATCTCAGTCAACCTGCGTCCAATCATCTAAATTATCTAGTCTGGGCTCACTGGAGGATGCTTGGAGACCTCTCTTCATTATCTCCACAGACTTGCAGCGGACTCTAGCTGAGCTAAGAAGCCACATGCTATTGAGCCTCGCATAGCCACACCCTCACCGCAGACCGCGCGTGGGAGTGAGGCTGGGAAAGAAGGCGTAGCTAGCTAGATCATCAGCCTACGCGCTAAACGAACCACGCCTTTCTTAATCGCGTGCGTGTGGGCCCGTGTAGTCGTCGCCGCGTTCGGACAGTAAGGCAGAACAGAACGATTATTGCTCGGACAAGTGCTTCAAATGCTCGGAAAATGTCCGATGTCCGACTGTAATTTCATGCACTGTTACCAGGAACGCCCAATGCCCGGATAATCATGAATCTCACTTCAGACTTGCTACTCCCAAGGTCGGCCAGCAGTGTGGCGTATCCGTGCAGCTTTAGCGGCGATCCGTTCACACTGACGAGAGCCTGCTCAGTGTTGTCACGTGGTCGGCATAGCCCTTTCTTAGAAGGTTGACAGCAAATACTGTATCAACCAGGAACGAGACAGTCAGTGGTCCAATCCAGCCGCGGACGTGGAAAGCTGAGGGAGTCGGTGAAGAGTGGGCTTTTGGTACATCACCCTCGGTAGCCTGGCTATTGGCGCCGTAGTTTTCCTGGGTCAGTGCTGAAGGCTGTGGCACCGGGCAGTTTCGAGTCCCAGTTCCTTGCAGTGATGACACCTCTGGAGATCTCGTCGATTCTGGCGAGTAGGGCGCCGGGCGTCGCCCCGCTATGGGGGGGTCAGTCCTCCAGTCTTTGCGACCGGGTATCAGAGAGGGCTGGCTCCAGCTTCCTCATTTGCGTGACCAACTTGTGCACGGCGTCGGTGAAGTGTTCACTCGTCAGGGAGTTGCAGTTGCGCCCGGGTGGTGTTCATCGCAGTCGCTATTTAGAAAGATGTCACCTTGAGGAAAGTTGAGGTCAAAAAGGCAGTGAGATATAATCCCCTGTTAGGAGCTTGCTGAACTCTGATTGTGGACGAACACAGATCTCGTCTCTTCTGAAAGAAAAAGGACGGTATCCTCAAGCTTTATGAAGCCAATAAAGTGGGTGAAGTGTCTGCTTGCGGAAGAGGTAAAAAACTGTGCGAATTTTCGGACTAAATGAAGCAGTCTACAAGTTGTATGTGATCCCCGCTCAAAAAAACATAGGACAGCAACTCTGTGAAGAAATTGTAGGTGTTCAAGTACCTAACTTCAAGGACCTAACTTCAAGGCTTCTAATGGGTGGCTGGATAGGTCAGAGAAATGCTACAACATCAGGCATATAAAGGTCAATGGCAAAGCAGGAGAAGTTAACGGTGTCACTGTGGAGTGGTGAAAGAAGAGGTTCATGAGTCTAAAAGATATCCTGAAAACTCGACAAGACTGTTTGCTTTTGGCAGACACTCCCTGACCACTTTCATTCCACAATAGAAACACAGTGTGGTGGAAGGGAAAATGTGACACGGAGGGTTACAGTTCCAAATGCAGCAGGTGACAAAGAGGCAGCGGTAAAAACTACAAAACTACAGTGTTTCAGGTCCATTGATATCAGCAGCCCTCAGTTCAATACTACAGTCAAACAAAGGGCCTGGATCACAGGAGAAACCATACTGAGCAAATGGAATCGTCATCTAAGAACACAGCGTCACAACCATGGGACATTATATTTCCGAGTGTGAGTACTGACATTACCAGATGCAATGAATCCCATCTCTTCACAAAGAAGCGAAACCGTGCCGGTGTCAATAGTAGAAGATCTCCACATCCCTCCCTCCTGTGAGTTGGAAATTATGGGGCATGTTTCACCAGCTGTCTGTGGGGACTATATGCTGGAACAGATCTGCAGTTCTGCAGAGTGTTCGAGGAAGTTGCAACAACATGACGGGTGCGGCTCCGCCAATCAAGCAGCACCCTCGGCGTATCCCCATGGCATATCACCAGGACGCGAGTAACCTGATTACAGACATCTTGGACAAAGCAACAATACAGCGATCCCAGAGCCTGTGGTCAGCCCCCATCGTCTTCGCAAAAGAGACACTCCGATTTTGCGTGCACTGTCGGAAACTCAACACTGTTAACGTGCAAAGACGCCTACCCCATCGATGGACACCTTCACTGGATAACAATGGTTCTCTAACCTAGATCTCATGGGTGGCCACTGACAGGTTGAGCTCGATGGCACAGTATTCTCATCCCCGGACGGCTTTTCAAATTCAACGTGATGCTGCAACGCCCCAGCCACTGGTTTATCTAGACAACATAATCATACTAAGGAAGGACTACCAACACACCTCTGCAACATTGGCCAAATATTCGCCTACCTCAGAAGGGCAGGACTGAAACTTCAACCGGCCAAATGCAGCCTGTGCCGACAAGCTGTTGCATACCTCGGACACATCATCTCCCCAGCGGGCATTGCAACTGACCCAGAAAAAACCGAAGGGGTAACAGCGTCGTCTGCACCAGTCTCCAAACGTGGCGTCCAACAATTCCTTGGAATGACTAACTACTACCGCCGGTTTATGCCCACATTGCAAAACCCCCTCAACCGCCTCACTGAAAAGACGGTCACATTAGAGTGGACCGAAGAATGCCAACAAGCCTATGACTTTCTGAAACACAAGCTGACATCAGCCCCAGTTCTGGTCCACCCAGACTTCATTCATCCTTGAGACAGATTCACTATTTTTACAAAAATTGCAATTTTTGAAATGAAGCCAGTGTACAACAGAACCCGCTGCTGTCGCTCTTTGGCCGGTTTGTTGCGTGTGGTGGCAGAAAACGTGGTAACAGACAGACTCACAAATTACTGTAAATATAAGGATGGTAGAAAAAGCAAGAAGACAAGACAGGGATTATGGAGGGTGATTAATGTAACAGCTGGAGCCATCTAGTCCGGAAAACTTACATGTATATCTCTGTCACCTTGTCGTCTTCTCCACAATGGACAAACAGTCATGTCAGTCATGTATATACTCACCTATAAAATGCCTAGGCTAGCCCTTAGAAATTGCCCATGATCTTATTGCACCAGACTGCTCTATCGCCCAGCGCCGGTCCGAAGCCGCGTTCTACACTGGCGTAGTCGGCAGGATCGGGATTGTCATGGCCGAACGACCACTGGTAATTCCAGAGCCGTACTCTGGCGAAGGACCATTCGATGCATGGGCAACTCACTTCCAGAATGTCGCAGCACTCAACGGTTGGACGGAGGAGCAGCAACTGCAGTGGCTCGCCGTCCGTCTCGTCGGTCGAGCGCAGATCGCCTTCCAAAATCTGCCTGCCGACGCACGGGGTTCGTATTCAGCCGCCAGGACCGCCCTCCTGAACCGTTTCGACCCAGAGAGCAGGAGAGGGCTCTACGCTGCAGAATTCCACGTAAGACAGAAGCAGCCGAAGGAAGACTGGGCCAGTTTCGGCGAGGACCTGAAACACCTAGTTAACAAGGCATTCCCCGACATCGAA